TGGAGCGTGCCAACACACCAATGTAGGACTGCATCTCACTATGTGCAAGGCCACATGGTTTTCCTTCTTCATTGTACTCAACAACAGGCTTGATATTCTGAAATTTTCTCTTCACAACACGGGGCATTATGCTCATACCCCAACTTGACTTTTGCTCCTCAGAAATAATTGCCGTGCTGCCTGGTTTTGTCTCTGAAGATGAAACAAACTTCATCTTCTTCGAGGACTTGACTTGAGGATTTACAACTCTAAGCTCCTTACATTCATTTTTTTTAAAGCCAGACTCCTTACTTTGGGATTGAGAAACCATGGTTACAGACAAATCAAACCTGCAAGTGAAAATATATCAGTGAAATTAAGAAAAAACACGACGATGATTTAAAAAATACGACGTATTATAATATTTCAAACAACGTAAGAAAAAAACAATCGACGTAATAATCAATTTTCACGACGGTAATTAACCACCGACGTGATAAAATATTACAACGACGTAAATAATAAACAACCGACGTCTTATGATATAAACCAGAATATTAAATATTACAACGACGTTAATAATAAATATTCACCGTGGTATTGAAAATAAAATGACGTAAATATTAATATACCTTCGTCTATACCACAAAAACAAATTAGGAAAAACGTAAAATATTTTCAACAGAAAAATAATTGAAAAGATTTTCGAAACAAAAACCATTGTTCAGAGAAATCAAACCTGCGATGAATATATCCTTAAAAATCAAATACAAAAAAAGATTATCATTTTAAAAAACAACGAAGAACAATTTCACACGACGCTAGGGTGACTGACGAACCGGCGTGGGCTATAAATCTAACCACGTAAATAACAAGCCCCCGCCGTCTTATTTAGTTGAAGTAAAAGAACCAGAGTAGTGTTCAAACTTGGAAACTTTCCGTCTTTGTCTGCAAATTTTATCAAACTTGGAAAGAAAAAATGTAAAAAGATTTTTAAAAAAACGAAAATGATATGCGCATGAAAAACAGGAACAAAAATCCTTCCAGAAATGCTTACCCTTTGCTTGCAATGAAAGCTTTCTCCTGGAGTTTGGTGTTTCGGTTCAGAGATGAAGACGAAGAGGAGAGGAAGACGAAAAGTTTTCTCTCGGAGATAAGCTTGAAAGTTTGAAACAATTCTTTGAAAATGAAAAATGAGAGAAGCTTGAAAGTTTTTCTCGGGTTTGGAAACAGTGCAAGTATGGGTCAGGAAGGCGAAAAGTTTAAAATAATAATAAACCGTTTCATAAAAACGACTCTATTAATAGTATGCGCCCTAGTATGAAACATTATACGGCGCTAGTGTTAACACTGGCCTATAATATTACTTTACACGACGCTATGTTTTAATGAAACGACATTGTTAAATAGAATTACACGACGCATTTTTTTTCAAAAAGATGAATCGTCATTTTCCAATTTACCCAACAACCTTATATTCAATAATAACGACGTGAAAAATTAATACCACGTCGATACCGACGTGTAAGTTTTTTAATTACACAATAAATTAATTTTCCAAAAAATTACAACGTCGTTTTTATATAGCGTCGTTGTTAATTTATTTATACGACCTTATTTTAATTTTAAACGACGTTTATGTTATCATATAAACGTCGATAATTTAAAAAATCGACGTGGTATATAAAATTTGTTTATAAATAATGGGTTTTCTGTCTTTCTGTCGTCTTCATTTTTCAATTAGGGTTTCATCTTTTTCTCACCTCTCTGGAGGCACCTCGCTTTCATTTTTCAGTTTGGATGTTGATGTGTGTGTATCTGAAAGACACAAACACGCACACATCATCTAAAAAATTGTCTTTCTGCACAGAAGGAGAACAAGGTCTGCATCAGCCCTCTTT